ATCCAGAAGTTAGAAACTCTGTCCAGATATTCTTGTTTTCATGGCCATATAGTTATTTACATAAATTCAATAAGTGTCTGTTCCTCTTGCTGCAGGACATAATTAGAAAGATTGGTTTTATTACCAAGGTTTTGACACTCATGCCATATTTGAAAATGGTAAACATAGAATCAGATACGACCAGACAGATGTAAGAAACTAAAGTTGACTTCATGGAGGCAATACTTACAAGGAAAGCCCACTTAAAATACTGGCCTGGTTCCTGAATTATAGGGTTCATGATCTTAAAGGTGAGTAAAGGTCACTTCCTTGCAGACCTGGGAACCTCAGAGCATCTTAGGGACCTTGAAAACAGAGGAATTCATCCAAATCTGCAGGCTAAGTCTGATGGTAAGTTTCTGACTTGGCTTCTTAGCCTCAACGGACTTTTAAACGTCCAATCTGAGATTCCTTTTTAAAAATCACAGCAAAACAAACTTAAAAGGAACCTATTTGATCCATCATTAGTCTTGGTACACTCATCTGAAAAATTAAGCCAAGTTTTGAGGGAGGGTAGAGCTCAAGTAGCAGAGGGCATGCTTGGCATGCATGAGGTCCTGGGTTCGGACCTCAGTACCTCCTTCCTCTAGGAATAAATAAATAAACCTAATTACCTCCACCCAAAAGAAGTTTTAAAAATTAAAATAAATGCTTAATAGCTCAGCACACAGAGGCCTAACTTAGGTGGGTGCCCTACTCCCACCTACACCAACACCTCCCAAAATGCGCTATGACTATCACTGAGCTGACCTGTTCTCAGCACTGAGATGGATGGATTCAGGGAAATACGGGATCGTGTGCTTAGATTTGTTCTTTTTCTGCCTGTTCCAATCGATGTTTTTCCTTCACCTTTTACAGATCTCTTACTTTGCAAATTCTAAGCTGAATTTTTCTCAGCCACCAACTCGGCTCTTAATATATGAAACTTCTAGGGAAGTGCCAGATGGGGGAAACAAAGGTGTTTAGGACATGCCACCCCGACATATACCGCTTTGGCATGTTGATTATTTTGAGTTAAAGCACTTGAAAAACAGTAGATGCCAGAAAGGTACACTGACCTTCCTTTTTCTTTCTAAAAGCAGGAGATGACATTCCCATGTGAAAGGTGCCCTCCCTGAACCAGAAGGAAGAAACATTCTTATCACAAGAGAGGAAGAGTCCAGGCGAAGAGAACGCTGTACAAACAGAAGTGCTTAAAATAACTCCTGTCTTCTTTTAGTCGGCCTCTATATTTTAGCTACTTTTCTACAGTTGCTACTCTTTGTTCAACCAAGGATGTAAGCAGCTAGGCCCTGTCACTTCTTTGGGTCTTCGTTATTCCAGGAGGACTCCCACGTGCGTGCGAATGAAACTCAGGCTTTTTTCCTGCTGGTCTATTTTATGTGGAGCCCAGCTGGAAACTCTAGGAGCGTAAAGGCAAATTTTACCTCCCCTTCACACTGAGTGTCGTTTTTTTCTCGAAAGAAGGACAAACTATGGTTATGCAGTATTTGGCGGATATTGTCTCAAAAATGGATGAAGTTAGCCTATCATTTCATGGAAAACAACTGACAGCATTTGTTACCTATGATAACATTAAAGCTTTCAAGTAAAACGTAGAATTTTGAAAAACGTAAATCCATTCTCGTAAGTAGGGCAGGAAAGCGTAGCTCAATGATAAGAGTGTGGGCTTAGCATGCACAAGGTCCTGGGTTCAACCCCCAGTACTGCCATTAAAATAAATAAACCTAATTGCCTCCTCCCCACTATTGAAAAAAAAATCCATTCTCATAAGCATGTATTGTATACATGTTCATACACAGAATAGTTTATAGCAGTGAAAATGAGTGAATTACAGCTCCACACAACACTTACAATATTTAAAGGCTTTTCTGGTGTTAGTGGTGATATTAATAATTATACATATAGCATATAGAGTAACTATAATGAAATGTGTCAACATTTAGAGGATACATAATATTTTCTAAATGAACAATGCATGTTACAAAAAACATTCATGGGCAAAAAAAATTCATGGGAAAAGATGGATTTAAATTATAAAACAGATCAGTCGATTTTTATTTAAAAGGGTATGAACAGTCCACAGATATGGATTCAGATTCCATATTGCAACCAACTTTTAAGACACTGCTACTCATTAAGTTTGGTGTACTATCAAAGAAAAATGTCTACATGATATGTGACTATTAAATGGAAAGACTATTAAAATATTTTTTCCAAGTACGTATTTGTGTGAGGTCAGATTTCTTCATATACTTCAACCAAAACAACAAGACTGCAACAGATTGAATGCAGAAGCAGACAGGAAAATCCAGCCATCTTTTGCCACGCCAGGCACGGAAGAGATTCTCAATAGCGTAAAGCAATGCCTTTCTGCTCATTAAGTTTTTTGTTTGTTTTGAAAAATGCAGTTTTTTTTTCATTTAAAACTTTTTTATATTAACATGTAATGGGGTTGTCCTTGTTAAATAAATTAATTGGTATTTTAAAAATCTCTCATTTGACAAAACATTGTAAAATGACTATAACTCAATAAAAAATGTTAAAAAAAAACCAATCCTTTCAGTTTCAAGCTCAAATACAGAAAAATATTGTCAGAGTTTCCCTAGACCAAAAAGTTTAAAGACTGCTGCTCTGGAAAAACTCTTGCTCAGGCGTCCCAGGAGACATATACAAAATATTCTCACTGTTTCTACCCTAGCTGGAAACTAACCATAGCCCTAATGTCCATCGGCAGAATAGATTGTGACACAGTCTTATGTAATAGGATAGAGCAGTGAAAATGATAAATATTCTACCACCATGCACAAGAACATGAATGAATCACAAAAATGTAACATTGAGGAGAAAAAGCAAGTATCAGAGGACTTGCGTGAGTCCACTCCTATAGCTGCATATCCACCAGAGTGACTTAATTAAAGAGACTGACAGTACGAATTTGCACAAGATGTGGAGCAACTGGAAATCTCTTACGTGGTTGGTGGGAATGTAAAATGGTATAACCACCCGGAAAAAAGTCCAGCGGTTTCTTATAACTAAGATACATCTATCCTATGACCCAGCAATTCCATTTCTGGGTGTTTACCCAAGACAAAAAATATATATGTCCACACAAAAACTTGTACAAAAATGTTAATAGCAGCTTTACTCATTATAACCCCAAATTGGAAACTGCTCAGAAACCTAACCGTGAAACGAAGGATCAACAAACCATGGTCAATTCCTACAATGGAATACAAAGAAGAGTGGACTATTGCTGCCACAGCAGCATGGATGAATCTCAAAAGCATTTTGCTGAGTGAAAGCAGCTAGATGCTAAGGACTACATACTGTGTGTTTCCACTTATATGAAGTTTTAAGACAGGCGAAACCAATCTGTGATGGGAAAAAAAAATCAGGAGAGTGATTGCCTCTGGAGCAGTGTGTTCAGGGACCAACTGGGAAGGGTCACCAGGGTATTTTCTGGAGTAATTGTAAAGTTCTATGTATCTTTTTTTTTTAATATGACTCTTTTTGGGGGGCGTTGAGGGTAATTAGACTTTTTAAAAATTTTGTTTACTTATTTACTTTTTAAATGGAGGCCCTGGAGATTGAACCCAGGACCTTGTGCATGCTAGGCATGCTCTCTACCACTGAGCTCTACCCTCCCCCTCAAGTTCTGCGTATCTTGAGAGGGGTTTGGATTGCTGGGGTGTGGGCTTTGTTGAGACTCAAACAATGATACACTTAAGATTTGTGCGTTTCACTGAGTGTACACTATACCTCCAAAGATGGGGGAAAAAATTTCTAAACAAATCATTAGCTAACGACATGTATGCTTAAGTATTTAGAGGGAAATGATTTAACTTAATATGAAATGATAAAAAATAACACAGACTGATGAACAGATGGAGGGATGTGTAGGTAGAAGTATGGAAAAATGGCAACAGTGGAATCTAGGCAGTGGGTATATAAATGTTCACTGTAAAATTCTTTGAGCTTTGCTGTGTGTTTGAAACTTTCAATAAACAACAAGGGGGAAAAATAAGCAATGAAAATTAAAAACAAAAAACATGGGAATAACAATTGGTTCTTGTTAAGGAAGAAAGCATTTTGTGACTGGGGCAGAGCACACCGGGGCTTCAAGATTATTGGAATTGACCTATCTTTTAACTGGAGGAATGGATACAGGGAAATTTGTTTTATGGCTTTTTAAATTACACATTTGTATTCTTCAGAGTTCTGTGTATATATATAGTGATTTATAGATGCGGAGAAAAAGACAGATCTCTTGTCTTTGGGGTGGTTAAGCTGGTGTTGATGGAACAGCCAGTAATCATTCCTCCTCCTCCCACCCCTGTCGAAAAGGGCTGGTCTGTGGTAGGAAAAAATGATCCAACTTACTGAGCGACAGGGACAAGGCTCTGTGTGCTACGAGAGATCAGCTGAGCCGCTCTGCCGTTCCCCTTTGCTTTTCGCCTTCGAGTATTCATATTGTTTTTGTACACAGTCATCTCTTCCTCAGGTGAACCACTAACCACCCACCAGCTCACTCTGAAAACATGGGGAGGCTTCCATCTATTGTGATCTCTAGCCCTAGGCAGGCTCCATCACATTCCTTTTCTGGGATTGGTATATGGATATTTCAAGAAGTTATTCCTCTTGCTGCTGAAGTAGCAAAACAAGGAGGGTATGAGTATGGGGCTGCCCATTGCCATCCCACTGTGGGAGGAGCCTAGCTGAGCCAGTACAGAAATGAGCAGGAGAGATAAAGCCTAATGGTTTCTGGTCTCCTGGATCCAGTCATTCCTGAAGCCCTGAGCAGTGATGTGAACCAATATATTCCCCTTTGGCGTAAGCCGGTTTTATGTGGGTTTCCCTTGTAACTGAAAGTCCTAACTATCCAAGTCCTCAGCTGTCAAAATTCTAGGTGCCATTTCTGTGTCTGCAACTCTCCACCCCCAACAACCAGCCCTACTCACCTGGTGATCTCCTCTAAGGCTGCCTCGGGTAGGGCCAGCATCTCTACCAGCAGGGACAGGATCTCAAAGAGCAGAGTGTCAGGGTTTGGGGGAACCATGTCCGTCAGGGCATTCTGTTCTGGGGACATGGGATGGTGGCTGCCGTTACCATTGGGCAGTTCTGTATTCCCAACCCCCACCCAGCCTTCTGGCCCCTCCCCCAGCTCTGAGTGCCCTGGGCTCATCCCTGCTCACCCACAGAGCAGAAGAAGCGCTTGGTGTCTGTCAGCACGGCCAAAAAGTCTTTGAAGTTCACGTGACCATCTCCTGCGGAGGCCAGAAGAACACTGGGTGGGCAGGGGCCCTCCAGAGCAGGTCCAGACATTGCAACCCAGGCACAGCTGTTAACATTTACTC